TTCACAAGAAAGTAAAAATACAATCGAGGGCGAGCCATGAAGCTCGGGGCACGGATAGCCGATTCGACTTCTAACAATCGAAAGAGAGAAGTCAAACAAGGGGATTCGAGTAAGTTGGCTTATGTTTCTTATAGATACTTTGACTAACCGAGTATGTTGAGCTTATTTTCGGGCACATTGCAATCCCAATGGATATAAAGGAAACGGGAAAGCAATACCTTTGCAAATCCACCTCGGGTATGGTCGCCTTATAATAGACCACCGTCTAAGTGCGAAATCCAAAGTTGAACAACCACTTTCGAGTGAGGACAATTAACTCAATTCAGCGAGGTAAGATTGCCAAATTTTCTTTGCATATTTAATTTTCGTGGTAGGCTATCCTTTACAATAAGGTCACGCACCGCACGTTTAAATTTCTAGGGTAGGTCGCCTTTTACAACAAGACCACACATTTGCATGTTTAATTTTCAAGGTAGGCTACCCTATACAATAAGGCCACACACCACACGTTTAATTTTTAGGATAGGCTGCCCTTTACAATAAGGCCACACATCCGCATATTTAAATTTTAGGGTAGGTCGCCCTTTACAATAAGGTCATGCATTTGCACGTTTAATTTTCGGGATAGGTCGCCCTTTACAATAAGGCCACGCACTGCATATTTAAATTTTAGGGTAGGTCGCCCTTTACAATAAGGCCATGCATTGCACGTTTAATTTCTAGGATAGATCGTCCTTTACAATAAGGTCACGTATTGCATGTTTAATTCCTAAGGTATGTCGCCCTTTAGAATAAGGCCGTACATTATAAAAAAAATTCTTTACAAGCTTATTAAACAAAGTCATTGAAAAGCATCTTTTTCACTTGACTTGCGCCATAAGCAATGTAAAGAGAGGGCAACTATAATAACCCAAAATTTACCCTTTTTTATTTTTATTTTTATTTCTTTATTTTTATTTTTATTTTTATTTTTATTTTTTACTTTTTATTTCATTATGTTTTGTTTTGTTTTAATTTGAAGTTTACTAAAAAAAAAAAAAAAGAAGAAAAGAACAAAGAAAAAAAAAGAAAATGATGAAAAACATAAAAAATTCATTTAGGGACACAATTGAAGTAATTAGAGGTGTAATCGAGTCAATCAAGAAATTTAAGCCCTAAATTGCACCTCACGGGGACTCAATTGATGAGATTGTGTTGAAATTATATCACAAAAAGGGCGTGATCGTGGAAATTTGAAATGCATAGGGACCAAGTTGAATTTTTGGCGCGGACGACGGGATTGAGGTGGAGACGGTGACTCGTCGTCCACTCCAATTCTAATTTCCCTCCGAAAATCTTTAGGAGAAATCGCCAAATCCTCCATCAAATTTTATGTTTTGATTTTGCATTTATCATGATTATTGGATCGGAATTAATACCAACAAAAAATCAAGTAATTTCTGTTGTGATTTTGCATTAATCATGAATTAAAGAGGAAAAATTTTGATAAAAAAATTTAGGATTTGAGATTCGATTCTAAGAGAAATTCTAGGAAATTTTTGGCTATAAAACATTTTGAATTTCAAAGAACAAATGGGAGGAAAAAAATTGGAGAAGAATTCGGGGAGAGAGGTTGAAAATCGAAAGCAAAAAGGTTAAATATTCGATCTTTTAGCAGTTGGGTTTTACGGGTTACGGGTTTTTCGGGTTGAGCGTTCTTCATTTTCCGGGTAGTGCTTGAAAATTCTTGGAGTCCTAGGTTTTGCGTTTGAAGCTCTTCACATCGTTGAAACTTAGTTCTCTAATCTAGAACCAATTTGAGCATCCAAGGTCAATGGACGGTTCCAAGTTTTCATTTTCTTCAATTATCCAGGTCATTGTTCATTTTTTTTTTTTTTTTGATTTCGATTGCTTAAATTCCAAATGTTGGTTTAGTTATTTGTTTAAGCTTTAATTTTGATTGTTTTTGGTTTGTGATTGAAATAATGGTATAAAGATTTTGGATTAATGAGTTCATTGGTTTGGAATTGGGATTTTTAGTTTTAGAGAAACTGGAAAAAGAAAGAGAAAGTGAAGAACGTGAAGAACATGAGAGAGAAAGGGTTAAAAGCTTGAAAATTTCGGTTTTGATCCGAGAAATAAAAAAGAAAACAAGTGGAACTTGTTTTCGGGCTTGAGGTCCGGCCCGAATCCACGAAAAAAAAAGAAACAAAAGGGTTGGACTGCTTTCGGTCCGACCTACGGCCCTTCTCCAAAAAAAAAAAAATACGTGTGGGCTGGATCGATTTCGGTCCAGCCAGTACTCTACCCCAAATAAAAAGGGGCTAGACTGGAATTTACCCGAGCCCGTGGCCCTCACCAAAAAAAAAAAAAAAAAAAAAACCAAAAAAAGAAGAAGAAGAAAGGGGTAATAAAGAAAAAAAAAGGAATTAGGGAAGAAAAAAATAAAAAAAAGTAAGAAAGAAAAGGAAAAAGGGATGGGTAAAAAAAATAAAATAAAAAATAAGTTGTAGGTTAATGGTTTAGGTATATGATATTTTTTCTATCGTTTTCTTTTATTATTCATTTATTTTTTTAGCCTTTTTATTTTTATTCCTTATCGTTTTTTTATATTAATTTATAATTTTTATTTCAATTTTTTTATTTTATTTTCTTTAATATGTATTGCTAGAAAAAATTTTTAAAAAATCTTGACGAAGTCTCCTATTTGATAGGGATCGACGTCATAAAAAAAAATGCCTAAAAATTTTGGCGAAGCCTCCTACTTGGTAGGGACCGATGCCATAAAAAATAAATTGACGAAATCTCCTATCTAATAGGGACCGACATTACCAAAAAGAATATTCAAGATTTTTTACGAAGTCTCCTACTTGATAGGGATTGATGTCATAAAAAATCACCTTTTAATTAAGACGTCCTACGACACGCCGGTTGTGTCAAGGCATTTAGTGGATCCGATGTTTGAACCGACGTGTCATCGAAGAAGGGGACCGATGATCGTTTCAATACAATGCCACACCCAAACTAATTTTTTTTTTTTTGAACTTTATAAAAAATAGGAGTTTAAAATTCGAAAATAGTTTGACATGAAATTTTAGGAGATGAATTTAGAACTAAACCATACATGGTATATTTTTTTTTTCAAAAAAAGGGCGCTTTTAGGTGATTAAATATATTCTTAAAAGCGTAACCAACTCCTTACCTTAGGAATCTCCGAACCGAGTGCTATTTTTAGATTCCTAGTTCTTTAAATACTAGGTGGCGACTCCAAAACTCTGTAAATAATTTTGTAAATGATTAACGCTTAGACTTTAATTTTTTTGGGGAGTCCAATCGACGTCGTGTAGCGATATTATTTTATTTGTGATTAATACGAAACAAAAGAAATATTATCAATTGCTTTTTTTGGGGGGGGGGGGGGGGGGGGTGAGAAATGCGTATTTTTATAGCATATCATGCACTCAGTTTTTAATGTCAGTTGACAAATATTAGAAGGAATAAGGAAAAAAAATTCTGGGAGGCAATGATTTTATTTATAAATAAACCACATTCTGACGAAGTGTAAGGACTAGAAGGAAGCGAACAAAAATTACGGTGCAGTTGACCCCTTTATCCGTTACGTAGCTAGGGATAAGGGTTTTGTTTTTGTTCATTAATTAGAAAAAGATGATTAATAATTATGTATCTATTAAGTATATATCACCTGGATTTGTGTTACGGTGACCTGATAAATCATTAGGTAGCTAGGATTTGACAACCATCTTAAAACTGAAAAAAGATCATATTGCTAATATAATTAAGATGCTAAAATTAAGAAACTTGTTAATTAGATATATTAAATAGTATATCCTGCTTGATGTTAGCTAGGGATCTTATTAACAACACTATTTTAACTTCTGGAGACATGAGTTTCGTACTTAGGTAAATATGTATATTCTTTTCAAACTTTATATATGCAGTTGATTCAATTAACAGGAATCTCAAATATTAATTAATTGTTGAGTGTTTTTTTTCTTTTTTTCTTTTTATTATTATTATTATTATTATTATTTTTGAGATATCAAATACAATATATAGTATCTTGGAAATTTTTTGCTATATATACTTTTAAAGTACAATTGATATTACCAACTTTTGATTTAAAAGCAATATTTGATTAAGGTTTGTTTTGAATTTAAGCTAAAGCATAATTGCTTTTACCTGCTTTAGTAAAATTAATAATTCACAATCGAACCAGGGCCACATTTAGTAAAATGATCAGTTGATCTATTTTAAATTTTCACTTTTATATATTTTTATATAATAATATTTTTTCAAATATACTTGTTTGCTACTTTTTGAATGAAAATGCCGCTCAAAATACTCAAAATAATAATAATAATAATAATAATGTTCTTCAAAAACGAAGAAATGAAAATTATTTTTCAAACCTTTAAAGAAACTTGAAACCCTCGAAAACATAGAAACATTAAGAAAAGTAAAAAAATTAATATAAACATAAATAACGAAAAATCTGATACATTCACCATATTTTATATTAGTTTATATTTTTATATCTATTCAACAATAGAAAATATACTCATTTACCACAAAAAATCCGATACATCATAAGGGTGTGGTAACTTTTACTACTATATATTTTGTAAAGTTTTTCTTTAATTAGTAATTACTGGATTCTAAGAGTTTAAATATAAAAAGAATTAAAAATTATTGATTTAATATATATTGTAAAAAGTAAAATTCTGACTTATTACGTTTTAGTGTTTTTCTTTAGATTAGCTCTTTCAATTTATTAACTTTATTTTCAGATGAGAAATCAACATAATTAATAAGATCTTTTGATTTATTATAAAAACAGCGTTGATGTCCACCGCACTTGCCAACGTAACAAACAATGTTGTGGCTTTTACCCAAAACAAAAATAATACAATAATAAGTGAATGATAATTAAAAAAAAATTTGGTGGCTATATAAGCAGCATCCACACAGCTTTGATGGTGGTATAGCGAGTTTCCAAAGCAATGGCATCCGCAAATTCAGATAGCTTAGATATTCATTCAGTATTTAGCGTTCAGGAGCTTATCAAAGAGCCCATAATTTCAGTCCCACAACAATATGTTCATTTGAATCAGCAAAACCCAACTGTTTCTGAGTTCACTGGTCCCCTCCCAACTCTTCCTACAATTGACTTTAAACAGTTGGTCTCAGTGGATACCACGGATTTGGAGCTAGAACGGTTGCACTCCACTTGCAAAGAATGGGGTTTCTTTCAGGTTTTGATGTCCATCATCTTTCATTTTTCTTTGACATATATATATAGAGTTAACATAGGATCATTTGGCTGCTCATTTTGATGCATAAATATATAAGATATTAAGCTAGGTTTATAGATGGAAAATTTTAGTAAAAAAATAACCTAGAATTTTCAGGCTCCAACAACATAATTAATTTTCTTTCATTATATATTATTTTTTGAAAAAACGTTTAAGATAACTTTTGATCCATATATATAGAAGTCTGAATACAGCCAAATAATAACCTAACAGTCATGATCTTGTTCATACAGTTGGTGAACCATGAAGTTTGCTCTTCACTGATGGACGAGCTGAACCATGAGATTAAACAATTTTATAATCTTCCCTTGGAAGAAAAAATGAAATACATGGTAAGGCCAGATGATTTTCAAGGGTATGGCAAGGCTAAATTAGAAGAAAAACTTGACTGGGGTGATAGGTTCTATCTGATCACCAATCCTGTTCATCACAGGAAGCCACATCTTTTCCCAGAGCTCCCACCATCACTCAGGTCCTCCCTTCCCCTCTATCTCCCTTACTCTCTCATTTGGTGTATGTTATTTTCGATCGGAATAATTTATCAATATTATTTATTTGTGCATGCAGGAATACCTTGGAATGTTACCTGCTGGAATTGCAAAGACTTGCCATGAAACTGCTTGGGTTTATAGCAGAAGCTCTAAAAATGGACCTGAAGGAGATTGAGGAGATGTTTGATGATGGGATGCAATCAGTGAGGATGACATACTATCCTCCATGCCCACAGCCAGAAAATGTTATAGGCCTTAGACCTCACTCAGATGCAACTGGCATCACCATCCTTAACCAAGTCAATGGTGTAGATGGTCTTCAGATTAAAAAGGATGGGTTCTGGATTCCTGTGAAATTCATCCCAGATGCTCTTGTAGTGAATGTAGGAGACATTCTTGAGGTTTGTCATGCTTATCTCCACCTTTTTCTTATCCTCAAAGGAAAATGATAATATAAAATAAAAGAAATTAAGCACGTGATATATTGCATTTAGTATTTAGCTTTTTGAAACCCTAACGATTTTCAAGGTTATTTGTTGGGTGGGTTTGATATCGTAGTCAAACAATAATATATATTGGATGGATTATCAAAAGTTTTATGAATGCGTCCAAAAATCATTGACTTCCTTTCTTTAATTCTAGTTCAATGTATGTAAATGAGATTAGATATAATTATTAACATTACTCTTTTGTTTTTTATATATATCTTGGGTAGATTATGAGCAACGGTGTCTATAACAGCATTGAGCACAGGGCAACGATAAACTCTGAGAAAGAAAGGATATCCATTGCATATTTTGTCAACCCCAAATTTGAGGCAGAGGTTGGTCCTGCGACAAGTTTAATCAACCCACAAAGTCCACCATTGTTTAGAAGCATGAGAATGGAAAAATATGTTAAAGATTTCTTCTCCCGTAAGCTTTGTGGAAAATCATTCTTGGAGCACATGAAAATTGAAAGTACTGAAGAAGCTACACTACTTGATGGCAATTGATAGCTCTACACATCTTGAGAAACTGCGTGTACAATAACTTATGGTTGACCAAAATAATATGTTATAAATGTAGTGTATGCATGCTGAAGGAATGAAGGATTATATACCTAGCTATATCCAATGTATGTTGTAAAATGTATGTTATAAAATGTGCTATTGGAGTGCCTCTCGGTTTTGTCTTATTGAAGCCGGAGGAGCGCGAATGTCTTGATAATATTGTATCTAAAATGACATCCACAATTATCCATAGAAGAGGATGCTCGAATGTCATTTGCGTACAAAAATAAAAATACAAAAATTATAATAAAAATTAAGGAAATGAAACGATATTTTCATTATAATACTTTATTAAGAAGAGTAATAAGAAACCACGATAAATTAAAAATTTTTAATATAAGATTTTTAAAATAAATAAGAATAATGGTTAAAAAAAAAAACTTTTTATCAACTATAATTATAGTGAAAAATAATAAAAGTGATTGCAGCAATGGTGGAGAAGAAGGAAGAGATTGTGAAGGTAGTAATAATAGACTAGTAATTACATTAATAGAAATAATACATTTTAAAAACAAAATAATGTCACCATCAAATTAAGGAAGTGAGATTGGAAGAAGAATAATGGCGATGGTATAGTAAAAATAGTGATGGTGGCGGTGGTTGTCATAACCCAAAATTTCTCCATGTTTTTTTTATAATTTATTTCATTTCATTTCATTTTGATTTGATTTTGAAGTTTAGTACAAAAATAAAAAAATGATAAAAAGACAATGTGTATATATATATATATATATAATTTCATCAATTCACTAGGACTAAATTAGAACTTTGGAGCGAATAACGAATTGAAATTAAGTGAGCGACTCGTCGTCCACTCCAACCTAGAACTCCTCCAAAAATCTTTCAAAAAATCTTTCCAAATCTTTCACCGATTACGTTCTTGAATTTGCATTTACTATGATTGATACCCACCAAGAATCATGTAATCATGGATCCGAGTTTTCTTATGTTTAGCTAATCAAATCTCTAATTTGAGATTTGACACCTAAAATTTGGGTTTGAATGGGCTGATTTTGGGAAGAGATTTGAGCAAGTTTTGAATTCTAGTTTGGAAGGGGAAGAAAAGAGAGTTGGAATTTGGGTTAGAAAGAGAGCAAAAAAATAAAAAAATGAGTGAGAAATTTTGATTTTTGGGTAGGAATATTTTGTTGCCATTTCGGGCAATTTCTCCACATTCATATTTTTTGGGTTTTTGTTCATCCATTTTTGATCCATTTAATTTATTTATTTTTGTTGTTTTGGGGTTTAGTTTCAATCATAACTAGTTCCTCATTTTTAGGGTTTCGAGGCTTGATTTAGGATTTAGTGGTTTCTCTCTTTGGAAATTTTGGGTAGCCTCTTGTGTTGTTCAAAGTTTCTAGGCTCAAGCTCATGCTTTTTCGTTTTTTCATTGTAGGCTTCAATTCTTGGCTTTGAATCTCATCCAAGCATTTCCAAAGCAATTTAGAGTCTCTTAATTCTTTTCGAAACTATCTTGATGCTTAAAGTTCTATAATCATTTCTTTAGAATGACAATCACTAGTTTAAGCACGCCGTGTCTATGTTTCTTCTTCTTTTTTCTTTCCAACTTTGATTCTCGTCGTTTGTCATTTTAAATACCGTTAGTTATCGGTTTAAGCTTCCACTCGTAGTTCGTGATCGAAATAGGACTATAAATATGATATGTTAGCTAAATTCTTTGTTTGAAATGGGTTTTAATTCTAGAGAAAACTTGAAAATAGAGAGAGAAAATGAACAACAAGAACATGAGAGAGAGGAAGTCAAAATTGGATAAAAAGGCGAGTTTGATTGAAAAAAATAAATCACAAGAAAGGGGCTTGGGGTCCAGTTTGGGAGTTCCTTTAAAGGAAGATAGCAGGGCGTGGGTTGGCCTATACGAAGTGAAAGGCTAGGCTGAACTAGCCTAGCTATTTTTTTTTTTCAAAAAAAGCCGGGTAGAAGCTAGTTTTAGTCCGACTTCGACCCATCCGAAGGAAATATAAAAATAACAAAAAAAGAAAAGAAAAAGCAAAAATCAAAAGTGATAGAAACTGGAATCGGTCTAGTTAGGAAATGAAGAAAAAAAAAGAAAAAGAAAATGGGTAGGAGAGAATAAGGCATGGGCCAATGGGCTTGAGGGCTAAAAAGATTTTTTTTCAATATTTTGATTTTATGTTTTACTATAGCCTCGAATATTTTTTCTTGTTATATTTTTATTTTTTTCTCATTAATCTAGATTCAATATTTTGAACTTTTTTTTTGGAATTTATTTAATTAACCTTAAATTTTAAAATTTATGTTAAATAATTATTTGATAAAATAATTATCAAGTCTCTTAATTTTTTAGGGGCTAATGATAATTTTTTGTCGATAAATAATAAAATAAAAAATGATAAACAAAAAAATAGAAAACTAATTTTTGGAGTTTGTTCTAATGTAAATAATCTTTAGTCAATAGGTGAATGAATTGTCAAGTCTCCTAAATTCTTAAGGACTAATGATGATTCCCCCACCGAATCATAGGTCATCAACATTCAAGCAATTAGAATATTCTCCGACATAGTGGTTGTATGAAGGCTAAAAGTGATTCGATATTCAAATCCATCGCTCAATGAAGGGGACCATCGATCGTTTCAATACGGTGTCACGTTCAAAACTAAAAATAAAAAATAAAAATTAATTCAACTTGAAAATTGAAGTTAAAATCGACAATAATTTGGCATAAAAAATAAAAATACTTTAGGAGATGAATTTATGACTAAACTAGACGTGGTACCTTCCTAGGAAAAGGTATCTTTGGATGATTGATATCTTCTCAAAGCGTAACCAATCGCTTACTCGAGAATCTATGCACTTAGTGCTTATTTTAGATTCTTAGTTCCTTTAATATTAGGCGGCAACTCCAAACTCATGAAAAACTCATATCCCTATAACAAATTATAAATGCGATGCAAATCTTAGAAAACCTAAAAACTAAGATATTTTTTGTGAGTCTCGTCGACGTTGGGTAGTGATAGCATGCGACTTCACTAGGGAATTAAAGTTAGGCCATAGGTTTAGCCCTTTAAGTTTATCTCTTGTATTTATTTTTCTCAATTATTGCCCAAATACTTTTTTTTTCATCTAATTTTATGTTATTTATTTCTTATATATATTTTAATTTTTGTAATTTATTTTCTCGTTGTATGTTTACTTTTGAATTGGGTTGTATGCTTTTCTTTGAACTATTGCACACACTAAGAAGAAAACATATAAAAGCTCTGGATCCGAGCTAAACCCCGATATAATTTCAATAGAGAGATCTAGAGATAAGTATGACGAAAGTCTATTGATACTCTTCTAGACTCTCGTTTGGAATGTAACTCACCTTATGCATAAGAAATGGTGGAATAACCTTCATTTACCTCTTTGTGCATAAGGTTAGAGGCTAAATTACCCCATTGGTATAATTTAGACGAGTTCAAAAACTTGAAAAGAATTCGAGATTAGACAAGCTTTACGTAAACCCATAAAAAGCTAGAGCTTGTCCACTAGGGTTAACCCGTTAAGACATGAATCATTTTCAAATGATGTTAGTGCTAATCTTTTTTTACCGGATATCGTCAAAACAAATCATGATAGAGATTATTATCGAGGATTTTAGGGTCGAATCAAAATGGTTCTAGTTGGAGGAGGGAGGTCGACAACCCCGGATCTTATACAAAAAAAAAAAAAAGAACGAGAAAAAAAACAAAATAAAAAGAAGAGACCCTCAAGAAGCAAATACACCATTGAAGATGAACACATTAAAGATTTAGAAACCGCATGGTTCCTACCGCCTCAAGTTCGAGTCTAAAATTACGAAGGGTAGAAAAAGAATTTATTTATATTGTAAATGTTATAAACATTGTAATGTAAATGGTTTTTACAACTAATTATTGAAAATAGCTATACTATTTTTATTCTTCAATAAAAAATGACTTTAAGTCACATTCGGAATGTGCAAGAGGTGTAAATTTGAAAGTCTTTTGTATACTATCACAAGATGCGATCATCACTCAAGGTTTAAAAAAAAACTATCCGATCTAGGGTAAAAATTTTCCCAAATCGCCTATATGTCCGTGAGATTAAAATTTGATCTAGCTTGTCTTTAGTACAAACTCTGTCATTATTTGATATGCAACAAACAAAAAAAGGTATTCAACTTGGCTCAAATCATGCATGTGTTTTTGTTTACATTTCCACTCATTATACCTATTGCTTTGTGGGAATAAATAGGTTTAAGGAAATATAGGCTACACTTAATGAAAGCTCAACTCTCTTCAACATCATAGCTCAAATAAGAAATGAAAAACCAAGAAAGGGCTTTGAACGAACCATCAAGAGGAGACCAACACCATGAGAGGCAAAGTTAGTTTGAGCAAGTGCTATCCTCTAGGAAAGATACTTCAACTTGAGGGCAAGTTCAAACAAAAAAGCCATCATTTGTCACTCTATCGAATGATCAAATGCCTTCATGGTCATTGGACACAAGTCAGAGGGCACTAGGATCGTTTCTATGGGGTCGGTTTCCACAAATACCATAAGATCTCACGACGAGTGGAATCATAAAAACCAAGTTGGTCAAAAAATTCAACCAAGAGAAATTACTTGCTATTGAAGAATGTATGAAGGCAATAGAGGGCCCGGATTCATATGACCTAATGAGAGTTAACGAGTTATGCTTTAACTCGAAGTGGTGATTCGAAGAAGTTCAAGATATTTGAATTCACCAAGTACACTCGGTACACGGTACCCAAAAATCCATTTTCATATTTACGGTAGCAAAATGATCGAAGTTATACATGTTGAGAAGCTACTGATTCATTTCTTTTATGAAATTCTAAGTGATCCGGCCCTTAGCTAGTACATGTATCTTAATAAAGCTAAGATTCAAAAATAAAAGGATTTGGTATATGTATTCATCTGTTAGTATAGGTTCAATT